GTGTATCCAATCTCTTTCTAGTAACACATTGTAACTAGTAGGACCATCTATTACAAAGAAGACTGTGGTCCTAGTAGTCGTCCCTATAGTTATGTCCAATGGCATAACTCCCTTAGCTGAAGTTGCTCCTCCATTGAACTCGTAAGGATGACTTCTGTAGGAATCATGTCACCCTCTATCTTTGCAAACTTCCTCATCATCCTAGATGGAATGGTGTTTATAGCTGCTCCATTGTTGACAAGCACTTTTGCCACTGAGATGCCTTTAACTAGAGCTTTAACGTACAATGGCCTCAAGTGTTTAGTCAATTTCATGGCTGACCGTTTAAAAATAACATTTTCGACAGCCTCTATTTCTACTTCCTGCTTGTTTTCTGTCGAATTATCCCCCTGTGATAAGTCGACGTGCAGCATATCGCGTTGAGCCTCTGTCTCCTGAATTTCCTTCTTACTGTTTTCTAATGCTTCCTCATCAGTTACCCAACCTGTGGGAGGGGGCATTATTCTTGGGGGTGATCCATACTTTTCAGAGCGAGGCACTCTTTTCTTCCTTTTGGGTGTCCCGTATAGTACGTAGAAATCGAAAGGACGTTCAGATGGTTCTCCCAACAAGTCTACTTCGCGAACTCCCTCCTGATGTAGTTGCTTCAACAGAGTATTGCGCGATACTCCTCTCCTTCTTCCTTCTGCTTCTAGGTCGATTTCTTCTTCAATGTCTGTCATCTCGTCGTCTTCTTCATCGTTGTAGGCCTCTCTAGAAGTCTGGCCTTCTTCACATTCCAGCATGCAAGCCTCTCCTTCGTCGTCCTCCCTTTCTTCTTCTTCTTTTTCTTTATTCTTGAATTCATTGGCCAGTAAGTAATTATTGGCCACGACAGGAGGTAACGTACTGAACTGGATAGTAAGGGGTTGATCTGGATCCTCTCCATCCCTTCTGTCCCGCTCAAACTTTGATCTCCCAGAAGAAGTTTCTGGCAGCTCTTTCATTGATTCATCTGTACCGGTTTCTTCACTATCCTTAAGAACATTTTGATTGGCTATCTTGAGCAGTTTAGGCGCTTTAGGATGTGATACTCCCCGTTGCTGCCTCATCATTCGTCCATAGTTTCGTTGGAAACGCCTTTGTTGGGTTCTAGTTATCCCATCGAAGGGTATTGCCCTTCCTGCATTATACTGGAACGAATGCCATACATTTGGCCGGCGAGGTTGCGGCCTGAATGTTCTCCCATTATCTGCTGGCCTGAACTGCCTCTCAAAAGGCGGTCCTCTATAGAATGATGTACCTCGCCCTCTACCAGGTTGAGTGTTTGGGAAGAAAGTAGGGGCGATGGAGATGCTGCCATATCTCTGGTTTCTCCATGTTCCCTCTCACTTCTCTTTTACATCTTGCACACAGGACGTCTTCATCCTTTTTTGGTTCTTTCCCCTTGATTCGTTCAAAGACACTGGGATGTGGTCTAGGGTTCTCTTCTCCATCATCTATGACCAACTTGAATTTTGGCAACTTGTTTTTTAAGCCAGACGTCACCATGTTCACTCCAAGTGGCTGTGGAAAAGGATTTTCATCCACTGCCATCTTCTTCTTATCGTCGAACGTAATTCGTCCTGATTCAATGGCATCTTGCAATACATGGTGAAAAACCAAGCAATTGTTAGTCAAATGTAACCATGCATTATGCCACTTACAATATTTTTTACCCTTAATTTGTTCAGGGTTTGGCAATTTATGCTTATCGCTCAACTTTATCTGCTTATCCCTATATAATCTATCAAATATAAGGTCAGCTTTGATTACATCGAACGAGAACATTCTAACCTTTATGTTTCCATCTTTCATGGGCTCATCTTTACCCGATGGTCTAGACTTAGCCATTATAGGACAAGTATACGTATCTCCTTTGACCAATTCGGCCAAACACATTTCGGTCTGATCGTATGACTCGTCGCTGATGGTATGAACGTCAAAATTTGGGTCTTTGTAATAAGTCCCTTTACTAGAATTTTCATCTGCTCTTCCTCTCTTATCAGTCGTTCATACCTAATCACATTCGCACTCAACTGGAAAAGGTCAGGAAATTCCTTGTCCTGGAATTTCTTTTTTAAATCAAAGCTCAAGCAGCCCTGAGCGATTTTGACAAATTCTTTTTCGGGCAGAGGAACAAAACATTTGTTTCTTGCTGTCTTGAACCTTTGGAGAAAACTTTCTGCCCATTCATTTGCATTTGACGTAGATTCGTCAAATAAGCCAAAGTGACTTCAGACTCAATTTTATAAAACTGAGTGTGGAATAACTGTTCCAATTGTTGGCATGTTTGAAAAGAGTTCGCTGGCAAATTGATGAACCAGGAGAAAGCTACTCCTGTTAATGAACTAGGGAAAAACCTCATTTTATGGTAATCGGTTACATCACCACTTTACAATATGAACCGCCCTATGTGTTCTAGAGTAGACACTTTTCCTAAACCGGTAAATAGTGAGAATTCTGGCACTTTATACCCTCTAGGCCATGGATATGCTTGGTCTACCCAATCAGGATATGGCTTTGTGTAAGTCGGCCTAATGACGGGACGCACCCCAAAAGCCATCTGATCTTGTACGATTTCCATAATCTGATTCCTCAACATGACGTTGGGGTCATATGGAATTCCTACAGGTTGGTTAACCGGTTGATTTGTATGATGCCTGATGTTTGATCCTTGATTGGCAACAAAGTTACCATGATTAGGGCCATTACCATTAGCCTGAACATCTATTCCCTCATTAACACGTGGGGTATTCTGTCCATTGTTTAGGACATTATCTCTTATATTTGGATTACCCTCAAGTTAGGCGTACCACTACCATTGTTCTGATTTGGCACTGCAGTACCTCCTTGGTTTGAAGTAGAGGGACTAGAAAGTGGTTCTACCCCTTGATTCAGATTTAGGACTGAGGGATTATGTCCCACAATTGTCCTAGTTTGAAAGTGATTTGCAAGAGGTATAACCGGTTGACATATTTGGCCTACTAACTTATTCATTGTTTCGTTCAAAATGTTTAGTTGTTTGGCCATGTTGTCATAATGTGCATTCCCATTTTGGGTAAATCTTTCCATATTATGAATACTTTGAAGATTTACCTGTTCAACGACGTCTTGTGTGAGTTCTCCAAGTAATGCACGCATGATTCGAGGACTCAACTCTGTCATTGGTTCGTAACGACTGTTACTGCTTCGATTCTGTCCATCTGTTCGTGGAGAGGCATGCTGCTCCTCATATCGCTCGATCACAGATTGGATTCCTCCCTGACTTGCTGCTTCCTTATCGGATCTCTGAGATATATTGTTTCACCTTTTGTATTTTCAACACCAAACACCACTGGTCCCACCGAGCGTGCCAAATTGTTTCACGCGGGTTAGTCGCTAACAATTAAAAGGGATCAGACGATTGTGTAAGGGACAAATCTCTTGAGACAAAATCTCAAAAAGGGGTGTTCTTTATTGGCAGTGACTTTACAATCGGAAATTAAAAACAGAATGCCTCCAAAGGGCGCAAGCACACGAGTTACTGAAAGAAATGTTTAAATCTAAGCTAAGAAATTTAAAATTACATGTTCTCTATTCGAGAGTTTTTGATTCGGTCCTTTTGCTTTATATCCTTCCTTCCTTTTATACTCCTTGGATGATCTCTTTGTGATCAATCGCCTAAAAATTGCTGGATCGTTCTATAACTGCCCATTTTTCTCGTAATGGCCAACTTGTTATGGAACTACCTTTTCTAACTGCTGCCATTACTCTTTGTCGTTCAACCGTCTTCAATTAGGTTCCTTGAATCATGGAACGTGATAGGGCTGCTTTAATAACTGTTTTGATAACTGCACTTCTTAATAACCACAATACTTTATGTTTGCTAAGACCTTGGACGACTCGAAGGTTTGGGCAAGAATAGAGTAACAGCTCTGGGCAACTGCATGGCACTCCATTCGTTCATATTCTGGGCGACTTGCAAACTTGGGCGATAGTGTTACCGCGTTCTTGGGCTTCCCCATTTGGGCCTTCATCTTGAATTGTTTGATTGGACTTCGTTCTTTGGGCTATCTGATTTGGGGATCCTCCAATTGGGCTTCATTCTTTGGACCGTTCAATTTGGGCTGAATTTTTATGTGTTAACAGTATGGTATCTTCGAACCTTCTTAGCTCGCGGGGAAAGGAAGATTGCAAAAGAATCGTGTGGTGCGGTGAAAGGTTTTTCTTTATAGTTTTTGACTTTTCTCGTCTCCGTCTACTTGTGAAAAATATTATATTTCTTGATATTAAAGTGTCAGGCAATCGAAAAATTTCACGAATAAAAGCAATCAATTTTTTGAACATGGCTCCACGCTTGTTGACAACTCATGCTGGCAAAAGCAAGGATTCTGTTCAATTTTACCCGTTGAATTTGACCAACGTCTTTCGTCGTATGAATTAGAATTATAACTAAAATTTCTAAATGAAACCAATTTCAATCTCTTAGGGCTCTTTGATTGGCTCCAATTCCATGGAAAATATCATATTTGAGGAATTCGTTTTCTACTTTAACCGTTTGATACGAAAGTGGAAATGAAATTCGAATTCTAAAGTACAAACACTTAAAACATGTTTTTGACCAATGGGTGAAAAATGCACTCCTATGATTCTGATGGATTTTTTTTTTCAAGTTACATGGAATTTGTTTGCTTGTTCTAGCTTTGCAATCAAAACGGGTTAGCATAACCCACAAAATTCAAGCATTTGTTATGTCAAAGCGAGAAAGATAAGGGACTCAAAATCAATATAGGAAAAATCTTGACTCGACACGTGCGGATATATGCTCATATAGACACCCAGCAGTAGATATATGTAGATACACAGTCGAATATTTGGCTTGGCGATAATAGATTTTTTCGAACGAGAAGCTTCACCTATCGTAAGCTCTCTCTCTCTCTCTCTCTCTCTCTCTCTCTCTCTCTCTCTCTCTATGTGTGTGTGTGTGTTCGTGTCAATGCAGTTTATACGTACATGAAATTATTGTTTTCTTCAGGATATTCTGAAAGAAAGATTTTGGGTTGAGACTAGGGTTCGCAGAGATCTGTATTTATTGATATAATTTAATTTTCTTGTTTGATTCTATTATTTCCCTGATTCTTCTCTTTATCTAAACATTTTTGGTTAAAAGTGAAAATTTGGAGAAATTTTGATTGAATTAGTGTCGGACTTTGGTCTAATTTGTACACATGATTTTTTAATTTTTGTGATAGTTGTTGGTGTTTCCATTTTACATTTTTTTTCCTGGTAAATTTCGTGTTACAGGGTTAATTTCAGCAATTATTCAACGAAAAGCTTCGATTTTTTTCCCTCTCTTTATGGCCTAGATTATTTTTCCCCTTTTAGAGATTATCTGTTTTTTCTTTTTGTTTCCTCTTCTTCTTGGGGTGATGAGATTTTTTAATCATGCCCTAGTTAAGTAAAAAATATTTTGATTTAGAGAAGCTCACCAAATAAAAATTTAGAGAATTTCATCCCAAAGTGCTGCCATCTAAAATAGCTAATTCTTCAATCTGTGGAGTGAGCCAATTCCCAATGAAAGGAAACGTGTCAATTTTATGCAATATGTATTGATGTCGTTTACGAAATTATAATACCGTTGAGCAAATTTGTCTAAGGTTTACCATCTAGTTTTTCTTGCTTTCTCTGATTTTGCCTGTTCTATATATTCTGCAATCTGTTATACACATTATGTATATTGTTTAGGGTTATAGCTTTATTTTGATATTCATGGTCTGGCCTTCAATATTTGGAAGTGTCGATAATCGCCAGTTGCACATGAACTAGTATCTGTATGTCTCATTTGAGTCTCTTTTTTTACTTCTTTAATTTATTTTCACATTTGTTCCAGGAATCTGTTGCCAGTTAGATTAACTTAGTTTTCTCGCATTATTTGTATAATTGTGAAAGAGCATGATAAAACTGATCGTTCAAGAATGGACTTTTTTATGATGGGGAAGTGTACTCTGAAATTTTAGTTCATTACGGTAACGGTGATTGTGTGGATTGGCTTAGAATGAGTGGCCGCGTGTTGGTTTATGTCCATGCTTGAAGTGACAAGTAAATCATACCTAACCAATAATTGACTGAGAAGTGATCATCACTTCTGTTGGTAATTCAAAGATGCTGAAAAGAAAATGGTAGCCGAGGACTCCTCGTAGTGGCTGAAAAATTACGAGAGATGGTATCTGGACTTGAGTTGTTAACTTTTTAGAAAATAGTGTTTAGATCAAGTTGAAACAAAAAAAAAAATCATGTGGCTGACATCAAATTTATTGGGAACTGGGCATAGTTTGTTGCTGTAGTGTTGAGTTTGACTGTTGATAGCTATTGATGAGTGGGAAAATATATCAATGGAAACAGTCACGTAAGCTTTTTTTTTTCCTTGAAATGCTTTCCGTAAGAAGTAATTATTTGTGAATTGGGTTATTTATTTGCATAATTATATCTGGTTTGTTTTATGAACTAGTTAATTAACCACTCATGTTCAATGTAGCTTGAGGATTGGCACAAGGGGCAATGGCAGATTTAGAGAAATTGCTCCTGGAGGCAGCTGGGAGGACAACTGCAACTGGGAGGAATCGCCATTCATCTCCACCATCGAGAAGATGGCGAAAAGGCTCGCAAACTGATGATGGAAGCGACTTCAAAAATGATGACTCGGATGACGATCACGGTTATTTGAACAGAAAACCTTCTGGCTCACAAGTGCCTCTGAAGAAGAGGTTGGATCCCACAGAAAGAGACAACGATCGTAGTAGTCGGGAAGATGTTGATGAAGATGATGATTATGATCAAGAGCGTGACAGTGATGACGATTCTGTTGGGAGTGATCTGTACAAGGATGAAGATGATCGGGAAAAGCTTTCGAAGCTAACTGAACTTGAACGAGAAATGATACTAGAAGCGCGTGCAACCAAGAGAAGTGACAGAGATTTGACTGAAAAATTTAAAAAAATGAAGGGTCAAGATAGAAAAGGGAGCCATCCCACACCACCTACTCGCAACCTGCGCTCCAAAGCTGAAAGGGCAGGTGCATTGGATGAACTAGTTAAACGAAGAAGAGATGCTAGGGGAGGTTCTGGCGGCCGATACTCACCTGTAAAGAGGAGATCTTTCGCCACGACCACTTTAAATAGTCCTAGCCGGAGTGTAAGTGGATCTCATAGTGATGAAGAAGATTCAACGGGCAATGTTGGAATGGCTGATAGTGATGACGAGAAGACATCCGAGTCCAAGACACTAACGTTTGAGGATATTAAGGAAATTACAATTCGAAGGTCAAAACTGGCTAAATGGTTTATGGAGCCTTTCTTCGATGAACTGATTATTGGTTGTTTCGTGAGGGTTGGAATTGGGAAGTCAAGGACAGGGCCTATCTATAGGCTTTGTATGGTTCGCAATGTTGATGCCTCAGATCCTGATAGGCAGTATAAGCTTGATAACAAAACCACGTACAAGTACCTAAATGTTGTCTGGGGCAATGAAAGCTCTGCTGCCAGGTGGCAGATGGCAATGATTTCAGATTCTCCGCCCCTCAAGGAGGAGTTTGATCAATGGGTTAGGGAGGTCGAACGCAGTGGTGGTCATATGCCTAGCAAACAGGAGGTGTTGGAAAAAAGAGATGCCATACAGAAAACAAACACATTTGTCTATTCAGCAGCCACCGTGAAACAAATGTTACAGGAGAAGAAGTCTGCCACAGGGCGACCACTAAATGTTGCTGCCGAAAAAGATCGTCTCCGGCGGGACTTGGAAGTTGCCAAGATGAGGGACGACGAGGTAGAGGTTGAGAGGATCAAAGCAAGACTGCTAGAATTGGAGGTGTCGCGGCAAACCCAGGGGAAAGATTCAAAGGCGATTCGACTGGCAGAAATGAACAAAAGGAACAGAGCCGAGAATTTCAAAAATGCATCAGAAAAGAAACCTGTGAATACAAGTTTGAAAGCTGGTGAGGCCGGGTACGATCCCTTTTCAAGAAGATGGACTCGATCAAGGAATTATTACCAGTCAAACTCCGATAGAGGAGCAGCAGCACCAGCAGGCGAGACAAATGGTGATGCAATTGCTGTACTAGAGGTTGCTAATAGCAATGGAGGAGTAGAAGTTTTGGCCGAGGCTGGAATGGCTGCTACAGCAGCAGCCCTGGAAGCAGCAGCTGATGCTGGGAAGTTGGTGGATACTAGAGCTCCAGTCGACCAAGGGACTGAATCGAACCTGCTACATAATTTTGAATTGCCCATCTCATTGGCTGTGCTTCAGAAGTTTGGAGGTCCTCAAGGAGCCCAAGCTGGATTTATGGCCAGGAAACAAAGGATGGAAGCTACTGTAGGCTGTAAAGTGCCCGAGAATGACGGGAGGAGGCACACGCTGACCTTGACAGTGAGCGACTACAAGAGACGGAGGGGGCTACTGTGAATTTTAATGTTAGCAAGCGACAGTGTTTTCTCCTGTGATTCAAATATAGACATTTAGTACATTTTTTTCAATAAAATGTGCTACCTAGTGTGGTCTGTTAATCTAAAAAACAGAACGGAAGATTACTTGTAACAGAGTAGACTGTTTGGCATTCGAAGTAATATACAATCATTTTCTGTTCAAAGGGAAACACTTTCTTCATGGAGGTGAATATAGGAAGCTAGACATTCAACATAAATAACATGGAGGCCTGCTAACTTTGAGCAATCCTAAGTATAAATTAGAATCTGAAAAATGCAAGCATGCTATTGAAAAACATAACCAACTTCTCTTCATTTGATTCATATTGAAATTAATAATATTTCAGGATATCCTTGTACCAAGCTTTAGCCTTGTGTACTGCTCACCACAACCCTCATTGCTCTCAACAAAAATCTTTCTCGTGAAAAATTGGTATGGAGAGGATTGAGTATGACACAGCAGCAGCACTGCAAATTTCTTTCTAGTCTGAATCAGAATCGGGATTCACAGTTGATCTAACTGATGTACGTTTACCATCAAGATGATCATCATCATCATCTTCTTTCTTCTCATCAATCATTCCTGCAAAATGATGGTTTAGAAACTGTAGCAACATACACAAGTCGCATAGCATTTTGTATAACGCAATCACCTTTCTTCAACAGAAGAACTTCAAGAGTCCTCGTGCTGAAATCATCTTTACCTCCCATGTCATCAAATCCAACCAGCCTCCCTATCGCAATTCCTTTCCTGAAAGAAAATTCCCAATTATATATAAACAACTCTGAACTTGATCAAGCTTAGCATATATTTACTGCCTATCCAAAGGCAGTCAGAACCTGCTGACCAAAAACTAAAGCACAAAAAAAATAAAAATCATTTCCTTGTAGGTTGTAACCCAATTTAAGCTGATATTCAACAAACAAATACCCTCAAACTCATGCCCAGTGTCCCAAAGGAATAGCGCCAATAGCATCAGTACTCACCGAAAGGATTGTTGGTATCTTTTTTAAGGATTCAATTGCAGGAAGGATTTATCAGCAACACTCATACTACAGTGGATTGCATATTAGAAGAAATTACTAAACCATACATGTTATACATCAAGTTTCTAAAAATCAAGAATCTTGTTCGCCTTGGTTAATATAATGCCACTATGAACCTCTGTATGTATGATGTTGGCTGTTGAAGTGGGAAAGAAATAAAGAAAGCAAAGGTGGTGAACCATAGAGGCTTAATACACCTCAGCCTTTAACTTCTTGGAGAGTAGAAGAGATAGAGAAAAGACTTGAAAGAAAGTAGGAGCAGAACAAGGTGCTTTGCCTGTCACTAACTCCATTTCTAGTATAGGTGAGAATTGTCCACCAATAGTCATAACCTGACAAGACACAACCTATATTATAGAGAAGAAAGTTCGTATTGTAGCCTATCCATCTCTTGCCTAAAAGGAACTACTCGCAAAGAAGTGTTAGAGAAGACGATGTTCTCGAATGTTACATGAAATTTTGTCCTCTGAGATTAAGGGAGGAAGTTGATCATAAAGTAGCTCAAGATAAGATATGGAAATATTTTTAGGCTCATAAGATATGCAATAGAGAGAGGAAAACTCTTTGGAGTTCCTTTAAATTATGAGAGTAGCTAGACAATGGTATTGACTTCTTTGTCATCCTTAATAATAAGCAATTCTACGTAATACTCCCTAAACAAACATGCCATTAGAATCTTAGTTTTGATAGCCATACTTAGTGTTATAATTAACTAGGAAAAATGAGATCCAAACACATAGAATGTGATGCATTGATAATTATAGAGTATCAAACACCAAAAAAAATATGAAAAACAACTCAGAAATGCATCAAGTGTACCATAATAAATAATAAAAGAGGACTGACCTGAATAGTATGACACAAGGCAATGTTTTGATTCCCAGCTTTGTAACAAAGAAAGGTGCATTCTACAGAAACATTTTATAAGGAGTACCCTTAGTTTTTTTCCAATGAATGAAATCAAACACTAGCATGAAGAATACAAATGAAAATAGGTAACACACTAACACCATTAGGTTGGAAGGAAAAAGATGGATGAAAGTAAACTTCTACATATTTTTTGAAATCTAAGGTAGCAATTATTTAGCCAGAACATCAGTTATACAATGCCTAACATTTTATTTCCATCATTCAACTATACCTCATATTAAACAAGGAATAATCAACTTCCCTTCCAGCAGGGGCAGAAATAGGGTGGAAACTATCCATAAGTCCATTTTAAAATATATAGACAATATAAAGCATTCCTAGAATTTTATCTCATTACAATGGCTATCTTTTATGTAGATATACAATAATACTTATACAAAACACAGATACATTTAAACATTATCAAGTAAATAAATCACTCAATTTTCAGTAAAACACGGACTAAACTATTTTTAACAAATGCAAGGTGGTCAAGTATTCTAAGGTAGCAATTATTTAGCCAAAGCATTCAGTAAAACACGGACTAAACTCTCCATCAGTCAATTTTAGTATGGAGCTTAAAAGTTAAAACTGACCTCAGCATCCAACTTGATGAATTTGGTGCTAAAATGTCTTGGAGCGAGGGACTTCAAATGTTTGTCCATAATCCTATAAAGAGTCATGAGATAAAATTATAATTGAAATTAAAAGATTTGTCATAATGAAATTAATAAATGAGAATCCACAACTGCGAAACATGTACTAAAACATGCAAGGCAACTTATAACATATTAGTCCCACCATCATCACAAGTCATGCTCCTTGAGGAAGTAAATTTTTTTTTCTTTTTCATTTTATTTTTTATTTTTTGATGAAAGGATTGAAGATGCAAATTCTAGCCAACAATTATTATCTAAATTATAATTTTCAGGCTAAAGTGTAAGCAAACTTCTCACATCACAAAATGAGAAGTTCCCTCAATCATTTCTTTACATATTGAGAGAGAATCCTTACTTGCAACGGTAGAACTCGTGATGGTAGAAGTGACAAATTACTTTATCACTGCCAGTAACTTCACTCAAAAAGTCTGCTTCGGTTATCTCCCTATACTCTCCATGCCCTTGCATTTTCAATTCTTGTCTCTTCTCAGCTTCTTTCTACAAGATCAAATCAGGTAAAACACTATTTCTACCATCCAAAAGCCAACCCAAACAAAATCTCAGTATGATATTTAATATGAGCACACCAAGTTACAAACCTTAAGAGCTGTAATCCTATCAGCATGCAATTTTTCCAGCTCAGGGTCCTGTTGTAACACAATGACTGTAAACAGAGAACACATTTTGCAGCAATGAAGACAGAAATTATCACTTTATTCTCCACTTACATCCATTAATTCATCAAGATCAAATTCCTCATTAACAGAAGATGATGCATGTCCCTTCTCTTGAGCAAGTAATTCCTGTTGTGAACTCATTTGTGAGATACAAGAAAAGAGGATAACACTAGCTTAATGGCACTACATTGCTTATCGAATTTTTTAAGGTAAGTAACTATTCTGGGATATAAGTTCTTTCGTCATTTTTCATTGATTACTTCTTGAAAATCTTTGGAATATCGAATGCAGTAACGGTGCAAAACTATAAGGAGTCACTGAAAATACCAAAACTAAAATGGCACATTATTTTGAAAATAAATTCCCTATCTTGGTTACGTAAATTTGGGAAAAAATGGGAATAATCATGAAAGGGATTACCTTTTGGTAATCACGGGCTGCAGCAGCCATTACATTGCCGAAAGCCAGATTAGAGAGGGTTGATTTCACTGAATCAGGATCCATTTCTCTTTTCACTGTGATTAAAATTTCAAGCTCATCATTGAATAGAAGAAGAAACAAATTAATCTATTCACCCAGGTAGAGGAACTACCTTCTTCAATTTCAGAAAAATACGATGAAAACTTACCAAGATCTAGGTTGAGGTAGCGATAACAAGCTGAGTGAGTAAATTTGGGAAAAAATGGGAATAATCATGAAAGGGATTACCTTTTGGTAATCACGGGCTGCAGCAGCCATTACATTGCCGAAAGCCAAATTAGAGAGGGTTGATTTCACTGAATCAGGATCCATTTCTCTTTTCACTGTGATTAAAATTTCAAGCTCATCATTGAATAGAAGAAGAAACAAATTAATCTATTCACCCAGGCAGAGGAACTACCTTCTTCAATTTCAGAAAAATACGATGAAAACTTACCAAGATCTAGGTTGAGGTAGCGATAACAAGCTGAGTGGAAAAATAACTTGATTTTAATATTGGGGAATTTTTTTAAAAAGGCCCGTTTTGAAAATAGAAAAAGGGAAAATTTGATAAGTAAAAGATTAATTATGATTCATTTCAAAAATAAGAAAATAAGTGTCAAATTTCAAAAATAAAATTTTTATTAAAAATTATTTATAATTTAATTAATTAATTAATTTAATCATTAAATATATTTAAGTCACATATTTATATAATTTGATCACAAATTAAAAATTTAATTCGTCATTTATTATTTTTTACTCACAAATCAGAAATTTTCTGTCACAGCTTATTTTACGATCACAGTTCAAAAATTTTATATGTCACATTTTGTTCATCGATCATAAATTGAAAAATTTATAAGTCACGATATATTTATTGTTCATAAATCACAAACATTACAAGTCACGGATTGTTATATAGTCACAAATTATCAAATTATCAGTCACAGATTAACAATTTTTTAGGTCACACGTTATTTTTCGATCACAATTTATCTTTTTTATTGGTCACACATTATTTTTCGATCATAAATTATTTTTTTCCTTGGTCACATATTATTTATTGGTCACAGATCAACCAATTTAATGGTCACAGTCAATCAAATAATTTGTGACTACCACCAATACTTACGATTCATAGTCATAATTTTCAGGTCACGTATCCAATTATGAGTTACAAATCAACCAAACCATCACGACCGTGACCACCAAAATCGCTACGATCAACTGCAACTCCCAAATTGTGAGTTATAATTGGGAGTCACAATCACAATTTTTAGATCACGGGTCCAATTATTTGTCACAACATCAACCAAACTGCCATGAGCACCGCCACACACATCCCCACACACTGCCACACCACACACACACACACACACACTCCCCTACAGCAACACCGCCACACCACACACACCACTGCCACACACTACCACACCATCGCCAGAGTGGAGCCACCACTGTCTCGTGAGTTACAAATCAACCAAACCATCACGACCGTGACCACCAAAATCGCTACGATCAACTGCGACTCCCAAATTGTGAGTTATAATTGGGAGTCACAATTACAATTTTTAGATCACGGGTCCAATTATTTGTCACAACATCAACCAAACTGCCATGAGCACCGCCACACACATCCCCACACACTGCCACACCACACACACACACACACACACTCTCCCCTACAGCAACACCGCCACACCACACACACCACTGCCACACACTACCACACCATCGCCAGAGTGGAGCCACCACTGTCTCCAGAGCCACCACAACGCACCATCCCACCCACATCACACACCACAGCCCACACGAACAAAACCACCATCACCCCATCGCCACTAACAAAATCCAACAAACTCGCCATCGAGAATCTACCACTACCACCACCAACAAAATAATCGCCATCCCCAAATCCAACAATCGCCGCCATAGCCACCCAAGCACCACCAACAAATCAGATTCTCAAAATCGCCATCACCAGAACCAAAAGGCTGCTGGATGTGTGCAGTCATGTCGGCGCCGTCATGCGTGGTGCTCGCCCTCGGTGGTTTGTGTGTGGATCGCCTTCGTCGGTGGTGGTTGGTTGCCGCTCATTGAAGGAGAATACGAGAGATGGGGAAGCGGCTCAGTGAAGGAGAAGTCAAAAGGTAACATCGTGTGTGGCGCTTGCCACTAATGGTTTGTGTGTGGATTGCCTTCGCTGGTGGTGGTTGGGGAAGCTCAGTGAAGCAGAAGACGAGAGGCGGTGTAGCAACTCATGGAAGGAGAAGCGAGATAGGGGAGAGAGAATTAGGGTTTGGGGTTGAAATTGTGTGGTAAATGAATTATTAGGTAATTAAAAATATCAACCTCTGATTTTTGAAAGGTTAAACTACCCATCTTATTTTAGAATTGTGAATTTTTAAAGTAGGAAATTGTGTAATTTCCACGTAAAAAAATCTTCTTTGACTTTATTAAGAGAAGGGCCCCCTTTCACCTTGTTACTTATTAGAAGCATCTCTGAGGCCTCAGGAATATAGTTATCAAATTTCCATTAAGGGATCAATCTACAGGTCATTAGTTGACTCATCAAGTCATTGATTTGCCGGAACAATCATTGTCAAATTAAATTTTTTCGTAAAAATATTGATAAACGAGGCTTTGATTACTTGTTCATTCATTTATTGTTATAAGCTTTCATCTGCAACAATCATATAAAGAACCATTATTTTCGAAGGAAGAGTTTTTGCGAGCTCCTCTATGCTTCAAGTCGTGGACTCTATATATTTTGTTGTTGGAGCAAGAGTATGAAATTTTCTATAAGTCAACATTTTCAGAGTGGTAGAAACAAGAGAGACAATTTGGTTAATTCAACATATGTCTTGGCATATCTAACTCGTGGGATTGTGTAATGAAAAAAAAAGGAGAAAGAAATCAAACTAGCTTATTATTATTATTATTATTATTATTATTACTTTTTCCTTAATTATTATTATTATTATTATTATTATTATTATTATTATTATTATTATTATTATTATTATTACTTTTTCCTTAACTATTAATATGGAACTAACAAGTGAGTTGTAACTTATGACTTTTGGCAAATGTTCAGATAAAAAATTATCTTACCAAATTATTGATGCCACGTGTATGGCAACAATTCGTAGTAAGTTTAACTAAATAGAATCATAGATCGCACTACTTCTCCTCAATTAAGAATCTCCTTGTAATTAACTAAGAAAATCATAATCGTAGACTTTGCATGGCCATTTGTTTTATGATTTGCATTATCCTGACATCAAGGTATTTTTAATGAAAATAACAACTCAATAAAAACCAATTGAAAAGGTGGGTGAACTTGAAATACAGATCGAACTTTGAAAAATATTTCTCGATTGTCATATTCGTCTTTTCGATTTAAAGTGTCGAACACGTTGTGTAGTGCTAACGTATGGTTTTTAGAGGTATATAATTAACATATTGTGTAGTATTATGATGTGATTGTCATGCTTTTTGCTAAAATTCTGTAGGAACAATTCGTAATTGTCCAATATTCACATATTGGACAATGAAATGTTTCCATTATACTTGTACTCTTATTTATGTAGTTCGTTAATTTTATATTATCACTTAACTTCGGCAATCTTATCAGCATGTTGAAAGATCAAATTCAACTTAATAGAGCCAGTAAACTCGAAATAAAACTCAATATGCATTAATGGGTTATCAATTATTGTATTGATCGATTTTCTCAATATTCTGCAAGTCTAAAAGATTCCAAACCATGATATAATGTAAAAGAATTACTTTACGAGTTCAACGTCAATATGATTCGGTAGCTTAAATTTTATTTTGCTTACGATTATATTGGTTAGAATCCAAGCATGTTAAAAACCCATTTAAAATGGCATGACCTACCCAACCCCCTTCATCCTATTAGCAATTCTTCTCTCTCTGCACTCTCCCTCCTGTTAAAATAAGCAATTAGGCATACAAAATAAGCTGAGACTCCCATAATTTGCTCTTAGAAACTCTGATTTCCATTATGTCCAAAACCTTGAAACCCAACACTTCAGTTTTCCTTCCTTTTGCCGCTAAAACAGATCGAGAAATGCACTCAATATCAACTTTACATTCTGCCACTCTTGATACGTGCAGAGTTTTGGCTTTAATTCAGAATCTTTGAATGCTCTACGATCGTATCAAACTACTTCATCTAAGAATTTATGCGATGGAAAATTTCAAGAATTCCTCGTCTCAACTTCTTTGCCTTTTGCAAAGAACCAAGAGATCATTCTGTGCTATAATTTCTGTTCTCTTTCTTTGCCTTTTAAGTTATAACAGTGCCACTATGTTCTTTGCCAAAGTTCCTTTCCCTGCCAGAAATCTCCAGGAGCAACCCAGTTTTTCGCCGGAAACTGTTGCCGGAGAATCAAGAAAGTCTTTTTCTGTGCCTTCTTTAACTAATCTCTCACCTTCTGTACTATTTGGGATCAAAAAAGAGGTTTCAGTTGAGAAATTGAAAATCCATTTGCCTCTTTCAAGTAAAAATCCAAACTTGGTGGTTTTTGCAAGAAATCCCACAGAGCCAGCCAGTTTTTCGTGGGAAGTCACCGAAAAGTCAAGAAAGTCCTTTTCTGTTCCTTCTTCAACTAAGCTTTCACCTTCTGTACAGTTTCCGATCAAAAAAGGGATCCCAGTTGAAAATTTGAAAACACATTTGCCTCTTTCACATAAAAATCCAGACGTAGTTTTTACAAATAGAACTGCATTGCAACATCCAAAGAGGAGAAAAAAGCGCAATCAGGCTTTCAAGATTTTGGGATCTGAGGCTAAAATGAAGCAGTTTTCAGTTAGAATGAAGGAATTTTTACTGAACTCCTCTTGTGAGTATCGTTTTTTCATGACATGGATTTCATCAGTGGAGTCTTTTGGTAGTAGAGAGTTATTTGCTTTAGAGAGTCTATTCAAATCACACCCAAATGGCTGCTTAATCATAGTCTCCAATACAATTGATTCAAGAAATGGGATGCAAATCTTAAGACCCTTTTTAGCTAAGGGGTTTAAAGTAACTTCAATCTCTCCAGACTTCAAATATCTGTTCAAGAACACTGGTGCAGAATCATGGTTTAATCAGTTAATGAAAGGAAATGTGAATCCTGGAGAGGTCCCTTTAGGCCAGAACCTCTCAAATTTGCTGAGACTGGGATTGTTATACAGATTTGGTGGGATTTATTTAGACACTGATGTCATAATCTTAAAGAATTTTGGGAATCTAAGGAATGTAATTGGGGCTCAAACAATTGATTTTCAGACAGGAAATTGGACCAGGTTGAATAATGCAGTAATGGTGTTTGATGAAGGCCATCCACTTGTTTACAAGTTTATCGAGGAATTTTCAAAAACATTTGATGGGAGTAAATGGGGACACAATGGGCCTTATTTAGTTTCTAGAGTTGTTTTAGGGGCTGGAACTGGATATAATTTCACTGTTTTGCCGCCTATGGCGTTTTACCCTATCGATTGGAACAGAATCGGCGGCCTTTTCGAGGGGCCGAAGAATTGGGACCCCTCAAAGTCGAAATGGTTGCTTGCGAGGTTTAGAAAAATTAACAGACATGGATATGCATTGCATCTTTGGAATAAGCAGAGCAGAAGGTTTAGGGTTGAGGAAGGAAGCATTATTCAAAATATTATGTTTCATCATTGTGTCTTTTGCAATTTTTCTTCATTAGACATGTAAACTACATAGTATAGAATAAGGATGGTAAGGAGATTTCATATTCTCATTATAATGCCCAAACCTTAGAAGAATTAAAGAAAATGTACCAAGAAACATGTTTTTGTTTCACAAGTTCTACATATATCCTAGTTGTATTCGTTCTACCGCCTGTCTCGACCTAACTCAACTTGAACTGAGCTTGCGGGTCGAGATTGACCACATATAGCAAGCGGTCTAGGTCTATTTGCTACTAACTCAGCTTGATTAGCATTGCTTGTTCAAATCTCCAACTGCATACACTCCTATAACTATGATTGATCTAACTCGATTGTCGTTAGTAACACTAATTATCCTTCTTAGGCATTTCAAATTCTATAATATTGAATACCTAAAATGCTATGCCAAAAATGAACAGGAAATGTACTGATTTGTCATCACAATTTATGATAGCAGGAGATTCTTTCATGTGAATGTGATGGAAGATGTGTCACAAAATAATATGATCCTTACAACCCTAATATACACACTTTAGTTAGTTATGTGCATTGTTTCGAGAGTTTTATGCAACATCAATCTATCCGAGGGTTTAGGTCCATAATTTTAGATGATATCCCTATTACAAAATTTATCATTATTGATATTATGAAATCATAATTTGAATTAGACTTTTACATCATATCAAGCAAATGGAAAAGTGTTTATAAACCTGGGTGTTCATAAACATAGGTAAATGGATGGTGAAAAAGTGGTAGTACTTGTAAATCCTTCGAACTTGTGGATGAAAAAGGGTTTAATTAAAAGTACTTTCTGACTAATGTCTTTTTTTAAATACCTAGAAATAATGAGCCAAACATAGGCTACGTTAATGGGATAACAGACCCTCAAATCATCCTTCACGACGTTATACACAATCATTATATAAGTACTAGTATCAGTATTTATAAGTTTTACTTCTCTATCATTTTATTTACAAAAATTTCGAGCAATTTTGTATCAATGTAGTAACTTATAAACCTATAAATCAAATTTTCAATTGAGAGATAAAAACATTGAAATATGGACTCCAATGCTCCTTAAAGTACTCAATTACCGCAATTATATCTTTATTTTTGTTCAATCTTCTTAGGTATGTTCTTGAAATAAGATATGATAACTACACTAAGCCAAACATATCAGTCTCTTTGTGTGTTTTTTCTAAGTTTTAAGGAAACTGTTTGGTGACAAAGACCTTTGATTTCTCAACCTACAAGCAAAGGAACCATGTTAGTAATCCATCTATATCACCGTAGATGTGAATTCAGGACATCTTGCCAAACTTCTCAGGTTTAAATTTGGAACGTCGTGGCCTATCATCTTTACCAAATTCCTCTAATTAAAAAGGAGGTATAAGTTTGGAGTATCGTGGCTTATTTTACTAAAGTTACATTGTATCAGAAAAATCCTTACTAATAGTTCAAGTTTCGACTACATACACGAATTTGAACAGACTCAACTTGGATGGACTCGGCTCGATTTCACTACTAGTTCATGTGTAACAAATGATTATGGGGTCTGCACTTGATTAGAATTTGCACAAAGCACGTTTAGCTTGAAATGCTGTGAGAGTTTTTATATTTAGTAAACTGCACACAACCGTTTGCCAAAATGAATAGGAAATGCATTGATTTCACCAATAATTTATTGATTTATGATAGCAACAAATTCTTCCTTGTGATGGTTATGGCTGATGGAAGATTCATTTTTACTCGTGTTATTCAAGTGTGAAAATAGTCTAAACTTCAAAATTGTGGGATGAATAACTGGATGGAAACTATCATTGAGAACAAACTGGGCTAACTAATGGAAAATTTGTTAGAAAGGAGAAGAAATTGAAGACAAAAATATGAGAATGAGCAAAGATTGGAGCCAACGAGCATAATTTAAACTTCGAGGGAGAGATTTTTAATTATTAGCTCTAAATGAATAGTCCAAACTTATTGTCTAGAATTCTACATAGTAAGTTGATCCCCTATCTCTAGAAAGAGTTGATAATTCAGGGACGGATTCAAAATTGGATCGGATTACAAAATTTCAAACTGGGTTATTACGCAGAAAAAAATAAATTTTACACTTAAAAAACTAGTTTTTTTTACCAAAAAGAAAAAATACCTTAAAAAAGTGCTCTTGGGCTT